ACTGTTCATGTTTAGAAACAAACTTTCCCCATGGGTGCATTATTCATAGTCGGTCACTTGCCAGTTTTCCCTTGGAAGATATAAACTAAACATTAGGAAAATGGCAATGCACAGTAGTGGGGATTTTTGTTTTGTTTTGTTTTCTCCCTTCAGCTGGACGTTGAGCAAGCTGGTAGGTTCTTTCTGTTTTTCTCTTTCACACTTGCTCATTTACAAGTCAGCTAAATCTACGGAGCATTCCCTAAATCTCTGTGCCAACACACTCACAGGCTGCACCATAGTATAATAACCCTTAAATGGATCTTGGCACTCCTAAGAGAAGTCCCAAATTCAATGGACCGAAAAACATTTGTAGTTTTCAAACATTATTCCAGGAAAAGAGGAAATTATCCTCTTGATTTATGACTGCCGAAAGACTATGGGCATCGCCGTTGCCTGAGAAACAAAACAGGTTGTTGTTATAACAGCTAGAGACCAGCTGACCTCCCATTTCCCTTCGTCAACCAGCTGCAAAACTCCTCGGTTATGTAGCAGCCTCGAACTGAACATCTGACCCGGGTTTATGCAACTCCCCTGTGACAGTTTCGTAAGCGTTTTGTCGCCTCACTCGGCGCGGCCGCTCGCGGGGAGCGTTCGCCATCGCGCCGCCTCACGCGGGCGTCTTGGTGCCCCTCGCTGGGAGCGTTCGCCATCGCGCCGCCTCACGCGGGTGTCGGTGCCGCTCGCGGGGAGCGTTCGCCATCGCGCCGCCTCACGTGGGCGCCTCGGTGCCGCGGAGCACCTGGCGCCCGGGCCCTCCATCGCCAAGTCAACCGCACAGCCTTGCTCCACAAGGACGTGGTGGCGAAACATGGAAAGAAAAGGAAGGGGTACGAGAGGTCCTTCCGTCTCTAGCTGTCCACAGCGCTACGGCCTTCATGGAGACCTCAACGGATGTTCCCAGCCTGGTTATTTGGATGCGGGAGGCATCACAAAGATACCCTTTCTGACTAAAGCTATAGAGCCATAAGGAGAGGATCATGACCCCTGTAAGCAAACTGAGAACGCTGGATTTTAAACATCTGCCAAAGAGCTACATTAAAAATACCGAGGGCAGGGCGGCTTCATAGCTCTGCCAAAGTACTAGGCTTAAGTGTAAGCTCCCTTCCACTTACAGCTACAGGTGCTGAAGTAGCTTCACAAGTATGGACCTTGCGTTGGAGCTGTCACGACTCCTCTTTGGCTGTGTCAGTAAGAGCTGTCAGATTCGGGCTTTTCCAGAGAAGGAGATTTAATTCTCCATTTCCTCAAGCATCATTTCAAGGTGGTCTCTGATGACGCTGCATCAGATCAAAGGCCTCGCTTATGAACGTGGTATGGGAGTGTAATTAATGGAGCTGCTTGCCCAGAGAAGCAGAACTTGGGAACAAAATAAATGGAGAAGCTCTTGCCTCCTACAGCTGTTGTTTTCAGTTGCTTGCCCACTCAGAAAGGCACAGATTATATTTGGTCCACCTACTCACACTCCTTTCTCACAACCGTGAGCCTTAAAAATGCAATCTTCTCCATATGAAAGCCCAGTTACTGACCTTGTCCTAGGTTCTGGAGCGCAGCCATACGTAACCCAGATGCGATATTTCAAGGTGACCTTAAGTTGCTGAGAAAACCCTGTTTGTTTGTTGCTGGTTTGTTTGTTTATTTTGCCTGATCCCAAACCCTTGCACCTCCAAACCCTCCTTTCTGTGAACAGTTATTCCCTCAAAATGTTGCTATTCTTCCTTCACATACAGTAGTATGTGTACATGTCATTCTCTTCAGGCATAGACTAGAAAGGGAGAGGGAAAGGTAAAAATACCAGATAGAAGAAAGAAGATATTGCAAAAATACACCTGTTCCCAATGCGATGCAGCACTACTGCATTTAAAGTTATCGTCTCAGGAAAGCATTTCTTATACAAGAAAACATTGCCGATGGTCAAGCAAGCTGTCAGGTATCCCTAGGCACATATAAAGTGTTACTGACTTTAACTGAGATCAGTGGAAGATCAAACTTCCACCGTCCACGTCCAGCTAAAACGCTCACCGCCGAGAAGCACCTGAATGCCGGTTTTTTTTTCCCCGCTGCGGTGTCAACATACCCCAAACTTCTGTTTTTTGCCTAGATAACTGCAGAGAACAGGGGAATATCACAGTTAAAAATAAAAAAAAATAAAATGAGGAGAGAGTGAGAGGGAAGAAGGAAGTGTTTCCAGAAGCAGCTCTGTCTACCCCGCAACGCAAAAGGCCGCGCTCAAATGAGTGCAGTGGTGACATGCACACGGACCATTCCACGGTCTCGTTTTGCGCCGCAGGACACGGGAAGCGCCTCTGCAGCTGGCAGTGCAGCGGCCAGAACCGTGATGCGATAACTGGATGTGCGGATCAGGCCCGAGGAAGTTCTGCTGGGATCCTCTTTGCACTCTGCTTTTTAAATGTGATTAACATCTGTTTTCTTAGATTAGGAAACAGGAAAGGTTTTATAAGTATGTTTCTGAAAAGTTTTGAACATTGCATGACAGAATCATTTGTTCTAGGCATTTGGAAACATTAGGTGTTGGCAACTCCTGCTTTACGACTGTTCGCAGTCTTACCCCAAAGCTTTTCTCCCAATCTGCGGGGATTAGGTAACTAAGTGCCCTTTTGACGCAGTAATTTGTTGTCCTGCTG